TTGCAACGTTATCTATTTATTGTAGGTCAAAAGGATAAATTTTGCCGAGGGGAAGATCTGATTCTAGAAGTAAGGAATTTGCAGCTTGATTTTTGAAATAGGCTCAAAATTGAGATCTTGTTGGAAATTTTTTAATTTTTGTAAGAGCATTTAAAATATCCAATGTGTTGATTGGTGAATTTTAGTTTTTTTATTATTATTATTTTTTTAAGATTTGGGTGAATTTTATAATTTAAATATGTTTTTATGAAACATGTACAGTTTAATTGTTTTTGTAAAATATTGAATTTGATGGTTTGATCAATTTTTATTTTATTTTCTGTTATGATGTTTTTGTGAATGGAATTAAATAATCAGCTCTTAGAGAGTGACGGCACCACCGTCGGGAAAAATAGAAAATTTTATATTTTTATTATTTTGTTACAGGTTTTACTTTTGGCGACGACAATATACTGTCGCAAAAAATAGAAATTTTATTTATTTAAAGAGAAATTTTATTATTTTTTAATATTTTTTGCGACGGCGTTACACTGTCGCAAAAAATAGTATTTTTTTTTAAAAAAAAAGACTATTGGCGACGGGTGTTTTTGCCGTCTCAAATAACATTTTTAGCGACCGGTAAAAATAGGGCCGTCGCAAAAAATCAAGAAATTTCAAAGTTATTAGCGACTGTATGGTACCGTCGCAAAAAGACAAAAAATGCCGTCGCAAAACATTAGCGACGGGCACTTACCGCGCAAAAACTTTTTGCAACCCTGCAGTTGCGACCCCTCTTGCCGTGCAAAAAGTCATTTTGCCGTCGCAAAAAGTATTAGCGCACGGCATGAGGAGGTATTAAGCGACGGTATTTTACCGTCGCAAAAAATCAATTTTTTTGTAGTGCTTGACGATGTTGCAATGTTGATCGTCAATTTGTGTGAGTTGAATGCTAAATTTGGGAACATTACACTTAGAATTCGTTATTCCCCAAATAACATTACAAAACCCCCCAAAAAACCATAGAAAATCATGGAAATCACTTTATCAAATTTGCAAAGGCGAAGCGGCGTAGGCTCTAGGACATCTTGGAGTGAGATTAACATTGAGGACGTAACGTCGGCGATTTAAAATTAATCCGTCGACGGCATCGTTGATCGTGTGTTTGTACGATAACAACAAGTATGTGTATCTTCGATATTAGTTTAGTTGTTTGTGGAACAATATGACATCAAGGTCGATGCTCAAAATAGGTTTTTGTTTAATTGGTGTGTCATGTAGGGTTTTAGGTGATCTTGTTCACGCCGTAGATTTGGAGTTTACCATTGATTGCAAATGTGATGTTGTACATGTTTGTAATATGACAGACACATGATTTTGTTGGTTAATGTTGTAATATTTTCATAAGTTTGGGGGTTACCAATGATTGCAAATGTGATGCTATGCATGTATGTAATGTAACAAACGCATGGTGTTGTAGCTTATGTTTGTATCATTGGGTGTGTATTTTGTAATGTTGGGTGGCTAGTGGGAGGATGTATGCCTGAAAGTGTTAGTAGGGTTTGGTGGAAGTAAGGGGTAGTGGCTGTTAATTATTGGGGATTGTCAGACTGTGTCGATGTTATGTTATGTGATTGGTGTTTGGTGCTAATATTATAGATTGTTAGTGGAAGGCTTAATGGTACGGTAATGTGGCTCTGGGATGTTGTTATGATGTTATGTAGGTAAATATGAACGTTACAACTCACACACCTCCCCAAAAAAGTGCAAATGATTTAACATCAATAATGTAACACCAAGTAAGTAATATCAATAATCCCTACAATCACTCTACGAAATCCCTAAAAAAAATGGAAATGTTAAATCATACATTATCCACATACACTCAATCCCCAAAAAAATCAAAAACATAATCACAATAAAGGATAAACAAGTAAACTCAAATATTACTAAATCAAATCAATAATACATACTACAAATAAAAAGGACTATTTGATTTAAAAATATATACATATAAAACTAAATGGACTATCATTTCCTCAAATGAGATTTATGAGTAATTTTACCTTTTTAAAGACGCTTGTTTAGTTTTTTTTTTATTTTTAAATAAACAGCATAAAATAAAAAAATTATAATTATCCGATCAGGTTAATTATTTTTACAAACAATATATATGAAGGATTCTACCATGGGAAAATTTTATATTCCACACCTTTACTTTCGACCTTTGTAGTTTTTGCTTATGACCTCCAAAAGTTGTTTAGTTATACTTTAAGTGATATCATGTGGTTATAATTTAATAAAAAATATTTGAGAGAGAAAATAGTCTAAGGTCCCTCTCCCAATTTTAGTAATGGAAAAGGTTCGCAATATTATTTTATGATGTCTAAGGTCCCTCAACCCCACACCCATATATCACAAAGAAATTTGATTATCTCAAATCAAACCTCATTTCTCTCTCTCTCCCTCTCTCTCTCTCTCTCTCTCTCTCTCTCTACCAACTTCTCCATTCTCAAATGGAAGACAACAAACGCATTGAGGAAGGGCGGTGCATCTTGACGTGAATAATGGGGGTGGTATCGAAGGAAAGCTAGCTCTCGCCGTAATGAATGGTAGTGGCGCTGCGGCGGCAATCGGTGGAGGAGTGGACTAGGGTTTTAAAGAATTTGAGAAAGTGACGGAGGTCCATCATGAGCCTCCTGATTTTGAGTACTCCGCATTTTCTTGCCCATAACAAGGCTAGTTAGAGGATGTTCTATGCTCTTGTAGCTGTGCTAGATTTCTTCCTCTATATCTTCAATTTCGATTTCAGATTGTGATTGTGAAAGGCAATGTGAATAAACGAGGCAACGTACAGAGAATTCACTGAATTTTGGAACTAAACTTGTGCTGGTAATGTTGTGAGATTTGGAACTAAAACTCGCGGTAGAGACGGTGGCGGCAGGGAGTAACAGTGGTAAAAGAAACGGAGCTAGTGGTGGCAGAGACACTAATTTTTGGATTGTATGTCCATACTGTTATAATATACATTAATATCCGAAAAGTTTTTGCGGATTGTTGTTTGAGGTGCCACTCAACTCTTTACTCTCCTTGTAGTCCACATTGATGGATGGTGGATATGCAATTGAAGACATTGCTGCCAATGAAAAATCTCTCTTGTTGTTACTATATTGAATAGAAGGAAAATAAGGGCGTAAAGATGTCAAACTTGTACTGCACTTTATATGGAATGGATGTCAAATTTCTCTGATTGTGATTATTGTTTGTAAATTTTCTCTGGCTGTGAACCTAGAGAAATTCTCCAGAAATCTAGAGAAATTCTCCTTGTAATGAGTCTCTCCTTCTCTCTCTCTCTCTCTCTCTATATATATATATATATATATATTGGTTGTTGTTGTTGCTTATTTGAGGGATTGATTTGTGTATTGCACATCGTGATTGAAAAGGTAGAGAAATTTGCGAACAAAGCCAGAGAAATTTCAATTTTCTCTGGTTGGAATCCAAAGTAATTCTTTGCACGTAATGAGGCAAATTTCTTTGGTTTGGGGAAAATTTCTCTAAAAAATTTAGAGAAATTCTCTGGATTAAATCTTCTCTGGATCGATTTGAAAGACCTTAGACATTATAAAAATATTATATATCCTTTATGTTATAAAATCTCAATACGAGAGATCTTAAAAAAAAAAATCCCCTATTTGAGACACCTAATTTATTATCCTTAAAAACCACCTATAATGATGTATGTATCAAATTTTGATTTGTGAAACATTTCATCATATGTGATCTAATTTCAATATCACATCATTAAGGATACATAAATTGTTATAATTTAATTTTTTTTTCAATTATAACTCCCATAAAATTAAATTACATATACATGTGTGTGTCAAATTTCGATTTGTAAAATATTTTATCATATGAGATTTAATTTTAATATCACATCATTAAGAGTGATTTAAAAATGATAAATTAAAGAGATATAAATGGTTATAATCTATTTTTTTTTCCAATTATAATTCTCATAAAATTAAATTACATATACAAAACATTATCCTCTACAATATAAAAAGTTAAGTTTCTGCTAAAAATATATATATATATATATATATATATAAAGTTTAACTTACAAAAACGAGACCTATTCCCGAATAATACAATCCAATTGAAATGCTCCACATAAGAGAAACCAATCAGATTCCTTAAACCCACAAATTACTTACCAAGTATCTAATTCTTAACTTCCCCGTGTTGGGTTAGGAAACATCATTTGATCCTCCTACAGTACGGTGATCCTAACCAATAATAATATGTCATGTATTTTTTTTTTTTTCAATCACTTAGGCCTCGTTTGAGAAATATGTTTTAGGCTTCGTTTAGGAAGTAAGTTGATTTTTTGACTTTTTAAACTATTTTAGCCTAAACTAAAAAGTTTGGTTTGAGAAGAATTTTTTAATTTTTTTGTGAGAGAAGAGTGTAATGATTATGAGTTGGATGTGATATTTTGTTTGTTATGACTAAAATATTCTATTTTATTTTTTGTGACTAAAATAATTCCAAACTTATCCAAACTCACTTGCCAAATCATACTTTAATATAAAATAAAAAAATAATTAATTTTATCTTTTCTATTTAATATAAAATTATTAATTTTATTTTTTTCATCAATCACAATACTATTATAAAATATTACTGCATGATGTTTCGGACAAATCAATAACTTTTTGTTGGGTTAGAACTTGTTTTCAATTTTAACTATTAACATTTTTTATTTTTTATTTTTTGAATTATATTACTTTTTTAAATTTTTATATATTTCTTTATAAAAAAAAATTAAAATATATATTTATTTAAATCATTTTAAACCACTTATTACCACAAGTCAACTCCCTAGTCAATACCAACGAACCCTGCCCCCATGGACACAACCGTAATTTCACGGTACCGTCCGCCCGCCCACCACAAAAGTCCTCAATCACTTTTCCTTCACTCTCTCCTCTTTTATTTATTTATATACTATAATATAACGCGCTCCTCTTCGCCATCTACTGCGACACACACACACACACACACACACACACAGAGAGAGAGAGAGACAGAGAGAAGAGAAGTTTGTACTGGTACCCTGGTGCCCTGTCGTATATGCTATCCTGGTAATGGGCGGCGCTGGTGGCAGCAACGGCGGAATAGCGGCGGCGGAGATGGCGGAGTCGCAGTACGAGAAGGCGAAGATATCGGTGTGGTGGGACATAGAGAACTGCCAAGTCCCGAAAGGCTGCGATCCACACGCGATCGCTCAGAACATAAGCTCCGCACTCGTCAAGATGAACTACTGTGGCCCCGTCTCCATCTCCGCCTACGGCGACACCACTGGTATTCCCTCCTCTGTCCAGCAAGCCCTCAACAGCACCGGCATCTCCTTAAATCACGTCCCTGCAGGTATACATACATATTTATGATTCACGATTTTTTGATCTTCGAGTGATCGGATCGATTGATTTCATGGGGTTTGATTGTGGATTTTAGTCCACTTTTGTGATCGGAGAAGATGATCGGTTAGTATGTGCCTAATTTGTACTTTGTGGTTTTGATGAATTGTTGAATTTATGTACAAGTTGTTTGTTTTGATCTTGGAGTAATTGGATGCCGATGAATTGTGGTTTTGTGATGTTGAGGTTTTTGATTGTTTTCGAGAATTTTGATTGTGGAACTAAAGGTAATTCAGTGGACCTATGTATGTGTTGTTTGAGTTTAATTTTGTGATCGGAGAAGATGATCGGTCATCAGTATGTGCATAATTTCTTAGCTTTATACTTTGTGGCCATTGTTGTCAAATCGCAAATTCAATTGTGAATTGTTTTGCTAAAATAATGAATTGAATGGTAAGGTTCATTTGACTGATATATATGATATATAATTATATATATATATATATGAAAATACATTGTCCAAAATAAAGTAATTTATCAATATAACTAATTAATCTCTTCTATATATCTTGATAATTTGGTGAAAACAACGGCGATTCATGCATTATGTAAATAAAAAAAACAAAAACAAAAACAAAAAAACAACTGAATTGTAGTGAATCACAAATTGAATTGTACAATTAACTCAATTTCAGATTCAATAGCTCGATTTGAATTGTTGTTGTTGAAACTAGTATCAAATCATATGAATCGAGTTGTGAATCATATGATTCTAACATCTATGTTTGTGGCTTTAATGTGTGCATCTCATAATTTGGGGTGAAATTTTAGAATCATGAGCATTTATATTTCTGTTGATGATGAGATCTCTCCTTGTGGAACAGGAAAGGGGTTTCTTTACCAGTCTTTCTCTCTCTAAAAATTACTTTATTTTTTGCTATGTTTTCTTTAAGGTTCCCTTGCTTGTGCTGAAGTTGTGTGATCCTTTTCTTTTAAGTCTTGATCTTGCATATATTTTGAGGCACGGTTGACTTGTCATCAAATACCGGACGTTTTTTTCCTTTCTTTTTGTATTAACCCTTCTTTTGATTAATATATCAATTCCTTATTTTCTTGTTCTCTGATCTATCGGTTAGCCCTTTTTATGGCCCATAATGTTATTTTTCTCTCTAATCTTCCGTAAAATTGTCTTGAATTTTGCTTTCTAAAGAATGTTTTTGTTTAGGTGGGCTTGGAAACTCCTGCTTTAAACTACGATAAACTTCGCGTCTTTGTGTCAAATCATTGAATCTCATATATTCTGACGAGTGGCTAATAATTCCATGTTTTGTTACTTATATCAGTGTTGTGAAAAGAGTTGCCCTTGTGTCGGAAATAATAAGCACCATCAAGAGTTGCCCATGTGTCGGAAATAATAAGCACCATCCATGCAACTAACAATCTGCCATAGGAAGGTTATGATTTATGTATATTTCTTAATTCAGAAAAAAAGAAGCCAATAGGTCCAACATTCCACTAATTCCAATGAAATCGCTTCTGAGCTCGTAATAGAAAGAAACTGTAATTTTTTAAAGCCGAGATCTTTGATTTCTCTGTATCTGTAGTTTCCATTGTGTTGGACTTCAATCTTAAGCATTTTATGGCAGTTCATTATTGGCATTAATGACTGACGTGTTAGTTCTAATTTTCAGCATGTGGGTGCCTTTGCTTACCATAATTATATGGAAGCCCACATCATCCAACATAACTATAATGACCAATAATAAAAGATCAAATTTCTGGTAGAGACAGAAGGAAGCACTTGTGAAGATTATTCACATTCATGGGAGCAAATTGTAGTTGTTTTTTCATGTTGGATGTTATTGATTTCTTTTTCATATATTAAGAGATGTGCGCACACATTTGTGCATGTGTGCCTCATGTGATTTTGTGGCAGTGCACTTGTTGCATTAATGGGTGTAGTTAAAGGTTTCCAGTTAAGAGGCAATTGTGCCATTGATTTTATTATTTTCTCTCGAAGCCATTTTTCTTCTATTTGTTTGAATCTTTTTTACTGCAGGCTCTAGTACTCCCTTTAAATTTATGACTTTGTTAAATTGGGAAAAATTAAAGACTTGGATTTAATGTGATAGGTGTTAAAGATGCGAGTGACAAGAAGATTCTGGTGGACATGTTATTCTGGGCGGTGGACAATTCTGCGCCCGCTAATTATTTGTTAATTTCTGGTGATCGAGACTTCTCCAATGCTCTGCATCAGTTGCGCATGAGGAGATACAACATTCTCCTAGCACAACCTCAAAAAGCATCTGCACCACTCGTAGCTGCTGCAAAGAGTGTATGGCTCTGGACAAGTCTCCTGGCTGGAGGACCACCGGTATCAAATGGTGACTCACCTCAATTTGTTCATAGTGGCTCTAGCTATTTACCCAATTTCGATTCATTACATATTCCAGTTTCTAATCATAGTCAGATAAACCAAACTGTGGAAACCCCTCATTTGGGAACTCAGAAGTCTTCAAATATGGGAAGGGGAACCGAAACTAAACAGAAAGGGAAACCATTTCGGAAAAACCAGAGTCAACCAAATACTTCAAGAACTTCAAGTGTGCCAATAGGGGTTCAAGAAAATAAGAACAATGCGAATGCCCGTCAACCTGGATATACACAACCTATGCAATTCAAGGACCCCCAGGAATCATCTAGTGCTTATAATCCCAGAATCTCCGTAAGTGGACCTGCCCCAAACTTCATTCCTGGCAATTCTGACCCTTCCTGGACCAACAGTAATAACCTTCAGAGCACTCATCAAAATCATTATTCGCACCCTGTAAGACCAAACAACCTCCCTTTGCAATCGTCATTTGCACCAGGTAATTTGTTTCCACCTGATCCACACACCCATGCATCTCATTTGATGCCTCTGAGGCCTGATGGACCAGGCTTTACTTCAGGTCCTCCAACAAATGTGCCTGATGTCGGTAAACCAACTATTTCTGGATACCCCAGCAATGATTACAGACCTTCTATTTCTCAACCGCGAAATGGAGTAGAGCCGAAACAAAGTAAAATAATTGAGTCCCCGAATCATGTGAACTTAAACGGTCTTCAAAGAGGACATACTGTGCATAACGCACCATCATTTTACCATGACACACTGAACAACAGGTACCCGAATGGTCCAGAATTTCTTCCGTCATCTTCCTCGGCTACGGGTACTGCTAATACCTCTGGTAATGGTGTATGGGGAACTCCAGGATTCCCCAAACCTTCTGACTATGTTCAATGCCTAATCGGGGTAGTTTTACTTGCCTTGAACACGCTAAAAACTGAGAAGATCATGCCGACTGAAGAAAATATCGCTGATTGCATACGTTATGGAGACCCCAAGCACCGCAATACTGATGTTAAGAAAGCCCTAGAGAGTGCGATTGAGCAGCAGCTGGTAGTAAAGCAGAATTTAGGTTCTTTGCAAGTATTATATGTCGGTAAGAATGAAAAACTATGGAAGTGTGTGAACCCCATAGGGGGTAATCCTAAGCACTGCCCAAAAACAACTTGGGATGAAATCCAAATTTTTTTAAAATCCTCTGCTGGACGCTCTGCAATAATGGCTTCTCAATGCAGGTAAATGCCTACTGGTCTATGAAGCACAGATACTTCAAATAGGGTGACGTATCTGTATCGGATACTGATACTCCTTGGATACGTATCGGATACTTATTAAAAGTATCGGATACTTCTTAATTATTTTTTTATTAATTTTGGAGTATCGGATACTTAATTTTGAAGTATCGGATACTCCAAGTCATGTTTACTTGTTTTATGAAATTAGAATTGCAACATTTCTTGCATAGTAATATAATATAATATAATTACAAGTATAAATATAAGAATATTTTTCTAATACTTTGTTAAATTCTTCGATAAGAAGAGCATAGTGAGTTAAATAATAGAATTTATCAAATTGATGTATCCTAATTATTTCATGCATGTCCCTTATAACTACATAGAAAGTAAGAATTAACAAGAGAATATAATAATAGTGAAATTAAATATCAATAAATAAATAAGCAAGTGAACTTGAATACAATATTTTTCACTAGTGTCAAAGAAAAAAGTATAGGGACATGTTGTGAATTGTTCTATTATTGTAATATAAATATATTAAACTTGATATTGAAATGAAATATTTGAAAGGCCTATGAAAAATTTAAAAAGTAAACAAGCTACTAGCTTAAATTAATACAAAATTCTTAAAGGTTAGTATTTTACATTATAAAATTACATTGTGGTTTCTCAACATTCTTTAGTTTATGTGTAACTCACTATTAATAATTTTAAAAAATATATTTTTTCACAAATGTATTCTAGCCGTACCGGTGCCCTATTTTTTATGTTTTGTCGTATCGCCCTATCCGTATCTATGCTTCCTAGCTACTGGTTCACCTCAAGTTACTTCAGCTTCTTTGGATTTCATCTAACTGCAGATATTTTCTTTCATACTTCTTAGGTATGAAGCAGCTACTATTCTGAAGAAGATGTGCTTAAAAGAGCTTGCTTTGGGTGACATACTTCAGATTTTACACCTGGTGATAAATGCAAAGAAATGGATCACGCATCATCAATCAGGATGGCAGCCGGTTAACATCACTCTTGCAGAGACCTTCTCTGATTGGGAGTAGTTGGTACATAAGCTCAATCAGAACTATTGATTATGGGGTAGCTTTGGAAGTTAATTTATGGCAGCCGAGTAGGTTCTTCTTGTTTTGTTCGAATTTTAAGGAAGTTAGAAAGATTCCTTGGATGAAGTGTGGTTAGATATCTAGTTATGCCCAGTTTAGCCCCTGTTGGATGGAGATTTGGGGGGGGTAGAATGGGCACGAAGCTAATATCTATAGAGGCAAATTTGCAGAGGTTGTAGAGTTGCTAGTTGTTTGATACAGGTCCAACTGTTGTGGTATGCATTGCTTTGCACAGGGTTGGAGCTTATTTGTCCTTCTTGATCATTAGATATTTCAACTTCACGAGAAGTTGTTGAATTAGAACATGTCCATAGCTAGCGGCTAAACGAAACTCTTCAATGAAACATTGCGGGAGAAGTCAATAAACCTTGAAGCTAGTTATCCCAGCATAGACTAATGTTTATGCATTGTACTGAAAATGAGTAGTTTGTGTTCATTTGTTACCTCCAATGATTGTGGAGTTAGCAGTGGAAGTGGTCCTAAATTATTGCAGTTTGCAATATCAAGGTGGAAGTAATTTCTGATGTCGAAATTTAATCAAGATGGAGGAGGAGATTTACTTAGTGAACAGAGAAATGTAAGACCTTCGACCTTTGCAACGCAGCAGAGAGATATAAAAGCAGCCGAAGTTATGCCAACGGATTATGTTATTTTCCAGCTTCTAAAATTGGTCAGTTTAAGGTGGAAGCCAGGTAATGCCGTGTATCACAGTACTAAGGTATGCATGCTTGTATATGTTTCGATTAAATAGCAGTTTGCAGAATCATGAAGTATTGTTAGTGGATGCCGGAAATTGAACCAAGATTTCTGTTGGGGTTTATGAAAGACAGTTATATTCTGTTGCTGTGTTTGTATATATACATGTAATGTTCATGGGTGAGGACTTAAATGTGTTCTTGCTGAGGAGAAACATATGAATAAAGTTGCTTTTTATATAATTGGCCCCGTTGAAAAATCATGTAATTTGTTTTTGGATAATATTATAACACATAAACTCATGTTTACAATTTAAATAAATTAAGAAGATTTTATGGTATTTACTGGATTTGTGAAGGGATTTATAACTGGAAAGCGAAGGAAAGAGAAGATTATTAATAAAAGAAAAAAGCTTCTAGTTGATTTCTCAAGAAGTTGTAACGTTAGTCAACAACTGTGTCAGTAAGTTTTGTGACTGACTAATAATATATTGTAAAGGGTGTTGTTAATGAATGTTTTAAATGTATTATTTTTAAATTGCAAGATTTTTGGGTGCTTTCAAATCTAGCTCATGAATTGTCTGAAGAAAGCTTGCACTTTTTGGTAGTGGATGGAAAAAGAAAAAGAAAAAGAGAGAGAATAAAAAATTTAGAAAAAGAAAAAGGTGAAGATTAGGTAATCTTAACCAAAAAGCTTATTAAAAAATTTACCTATCACTCATTGGTCAGTAAAAACCCAGCCTGCACGCGCTGCCTTATGAGTGGTGGTGGGTAAGTTCTGGTTAACATTTTTGAGTGCGCACAACCTGCCTTGCTTCACCTGGTCTCAGAGATTGTGGTATTTGATCTCAACACTATCAACTCTTGCTTCACCTGGTCTCTAGGGCTGTGGTATTTGATCTCAGCACTACCAACTGGTGGTAGGCATGTTTGTTTGGCCTCTAGAGATGATAGGATTGAGCTAATAATGTGTGGGTTATATCAAATTCATGTTTAGTTGTGATAAAATATCATGGAATTGTTAATTCTATGGAACTACCAATACCCCTCAAGGGTGGGATAAATCACACTATTTTTTAGGATCTCTCATCTTTCCAAAAAAAAAATTATTACAATTTTGTCTTTTCACAAAATGCCCTTTCTAGCCCCATCTCCACCATCCAAACCCTAACCCTACTCCTCCTACCGAACTATCACCATTGCCACCTTGAGCTGCTCCTTCCTAGGTGCCACCCCCTCCCCTCTTTAGCCTCACATGCTACCCTCATCCTTTCTCTAGCCCCTCTCTTCACTTGCTAGTGCCACTATCACGATTGCTCACTACCACGATTCCCCATTATCACGATGTCACGATCGGTACCCAAAGGTTTGGCATCGCAACAAGATAATAACTGAAGTCATAACAAATTAATAGTTTAGCGGGATAAAATAAAAGGGTACTCAAATCTTTATTTAAGTATAACAAAAATGTATACATTGGAGCTTCTATTCAATTGCAATACCAGAGATGTACTATGACTACAAAGTGCCTTTTGCTTACTCCATGCATTGGTCCTGATACGACACCTAAAAGTGGTTAACAGTTATAAGTGCATGGCAGAGTGAGAAATATTATACAATGAGCATGAGGATACAAAAATTACCATGGATAATTATTTGGCTAAATAGATATTAGTTTGGTAACTGAAATACATAACTAATTTTAAATAACAGAAGCAGAATGCGGAAATCATATAAGCAAATAATCATAACTACAATACAGAACAGAAGTCAGAACAGAAGTCAATAAATTCATGACAAACAAAAGGCTACAAAGTGATCAATCTGAAACTAGTGGTTATGTAAGTCCCCCAAGGTATGGAAGTCCCATGGTGATACTTACAAAATAAATATTTATAAAATTATTGTCAAATAATTTTTAAAATTTAAATAATTATATCCATAGGTTTCGACTTAAGCAAATAGAGTTCATAAAATAATTAACGTAATTGAAATATTAATATAATGTATAAAATATGAATTGTATAAAATAAATTGTGATAACTCAAGATATACGTAAAATATTTTATGATGACTCAAGGTATAATATAACTCACCTTAGTGTTAATTCTAACTTTTTACTTTATGTTCATTGTGACTCACAAAATACTCTCAACTAAACTCAAAGTTTTATAACAAAATACTCTCAACTAAACTCAAAGTTTTATAAAACAATTAGAGAGAGAAGTGCCGAAGGAGAGAGAAGAAGAGAGTTTGAGACATGATGTTGATGCAAAAGATGAACATCTTTATATATAGGGGAGAAAGCGTGGGCATCAAGAGAATTGGGGGGCACGTATCTTTATTGTACAGAAAATGTTACGTTTTAGTCTAGAAAAAATATAAAAATATATAATAAAAATATCATAATACTCAGAAAATCATATCAAATAATAATATAAAGTTAAAATTATTTTTTTAAAATAATTTTCAGTATAAAAATATAGAAACTATTAAATTTAAAATAATGTGAATAATTATACAAAAAAAATCATAAAAATATATTATTTTTATTTATAAAAATACGCAATTTTACAACAAATGTTGTCCTCAAAATTCTCAATTTTTAATACTCTAAAATTTAATAACATCTAATTGCTTAAATCACATGCTTCCAAAATTTAATATTAATGTGGTGTAAAATTAATTGAACATTTGGGGTGTCGCCTGTAATTTCTTTTGTTGAGTAATTACACTTGGGCCCAACTCCTAAAATAGTTGTATTATATACCATCTTTTTGATAGGTCACAATGATACCCTACTTATATTCTAGCACATATAATTTCATAGTTGTTTTGATTTGGCTCCAAACAATATATTAATCCTATTTTGGTAAACTATGCCTCTTAATTTTAAGTTAGATTACATTTTAACGAGTATAATTATAAAATCAAATATTTTATTTTACTTAATTTTATTTATTTATATTAAATTAATTAAACAATTAGGGTGTCACACACGATATTATACCTTTGCGACTCCTACCCCTCACAATCTCATAATCACTCTTTCTGTCTTCCAACTTTGGTTGCCATCACCCCTTTCTTCAATATTTTCCTTAATTCTTAGATTTGAAAACCCTAGATATGGGGTATTTAGATATAGGGTTTAGCCGCTAAAAAGGGATTCACGATAAGGGTTAGAAGCGAAAGAGGGGTTCTGGTGCAAAGAAGAAGAAGAAGTAGAAGAGCGATAGAATGGTAACGGGAATGGTCGCGGTTGGAGAAGATGTGAGAAAAAGAATGAAGTGATGGTGGGTAAAGGAAGGAGAAGGGAAATGAATTAGGTGGCGGCATATGAAAGAAGAAAAAAAGGTTGCTAGAAGTGAGCTAAGGTTTCACATGGGATGGGGGTCATTAGGAACGAAGATGGAGCTAGCAAAGGGTCGTTGGAGTGAGAGGATGGTCGGATAGGGGTGGAGATTGTCACAGGAAGTTGCAAGAATAAGGGGTTCAAATGATAGGGTTGGTATTATGGTAGATGCTCAAAGAAGAAAGGAAATGGAATAGATTATGTGTGTAGGGGTTGAAGGAAATGACGGATCTAAAGAATAATTTGGGATGCAAATAACATTCTATGATAGATGCTAATCCAATCCCATAAGAATGAATATGAAAAGACTAATTTGCCCTTAGTTTAAAAAAAATGACAAAGTCAAAGGTTTGGATTGAGCAGGATAAAACAAGTTATCCCACCTCTAAGCATTACATACTACTCATTCTGCGAGAAAAAATAACAACTATTACATTGATTGACTTTAAATATTAAATTTTGAATATCCTTTTCATTTTATTTTATTAATGTCTTAATTTGTGTGTCATTTGATAACATTGTTAATTTTTTTATTTTTAAAAAATCAATAAACAAATTATTATTGTTATTTTGTTTTGTTTTGTTTTTGGTGCTTTGTGTTGTGTTTGGCATACACAAATGTTTTGAAAATAAATATAAAAAAAAAAAAGAAAAAACAAATAAACATATTTGTTAAGTTACTAAAAGTAGTTGCGATAAGAGAGGATGACTGGATATTGTCACGACCCAAACCCGCCCCTATAGGTTTAGTATCGTAACCGGCCAGTAATCCGTGGACTACCGAAGGCCTCTGAACATATTAACAAAATCAAGGGGCTAGCAGAAGCAAATACATAAATATAATTGTCCAATGAGCTGTGCTGACTTATATGAAACGGAATAATTGAAAACTTTATATGCATATGCAATAATCATTCATACATTATACCCACACACATTACAGTAACTTAAGTCCAGCCAACAGAATTAAAACAAGTTATACATATACATACAACCAACAGAACTTGAACTCAGGACACTTCGGGAACCTCCACATGAGGCGCAATGGTTGGCTGACAACAGGACACAGATCTAGATAAAAGCCTTCAGGCTCGGACTCCAAAATGCTCACCTATACATATATATATACACAATGAGCTAAAGCCCAATGAATAACATTAAGGTAAAGGGGTTAGTGAATGAAATCCGAACATATCATAAGCAGAAAACAGATCATAGCATAATTATTCTCATATCAGAACAGAATAATGGTACATCCCATAGAACACATTACAGAACGTCTTCCAACTAGAGTAATCGGTTCCGGATACCGATTAAACACATATCACCACAATGAGGTGGCTAACGAGATCTCGTAATTACTTGTATGTCATGGACCCGCATTTTCATGACGTCCCCCATGACTTGGGACTATCTATGGATGCCATAATAGATTTCAAACTTGGGATGTTCGTTCACGTAAACAAATATCATTTCAGAAATCATAGCTTATCACATTTCATTTGGAACATAATTCATATCAACATATCTTTACAAAAATGTTACTCACAGTGGTTCTTGCAAACAGTCTATCAATCCTCGGACGTTGACCTACAAACACAAAGGCACATAACACCAATAGATCTTATCATTACACAAGTACTTGGCAAACACGACTTAGCTTACATTACGTTGGTCTTTGTTAATTCTTAGCTCATTGCTTAAAACACACCTACTTGCCTTCCCTTAACTTAGTACATTCATTCCTTAGTGTATTTCTAATCCATAACCTCCTTAATATGGCTTAATTAAGGCTTAGGAATGCCTAAGATGCAATGAGGATGCCAAAATATGCCTTGGAACACTTGGTAAAATTTTCTGAAAATAAGGTCACCGCTCGAGCGTAGACTTCCTTGCTCGAGCGGACATGCAAAACGAGAGGGGTCGCTCGAGCGTGACTTCCTCCGCTCAAGCGACTTGCAAACTTGGAAAAAGTACTGGTTGGTTGAAATCCACGCTTGAGCGTATCGACAACATGCAAAAGGGTTCACTCGAGTGTCCAAGTGGTCACTCGAGCGGAGAGCTCATGACTGCAGAAAAAATACTGAGAGCTCGCATTCTCCACTCGAGCGCAGGTTTCCTCGCTTGAGCGGACTGTGAGATTCTGGGTTTCCAAAAACAGGGCTTGAGCTTCAAAATGCGATTTCAATGGCTACACTCATGCGTGGCTTGTTTTTAATGCTCGAAAACCTTTCTAAAACATGAACACTTGGTTGTTTACAAATTCTTTTGCTCAAGGCTCATGAATTTGCTAATTTTAAACTCAAAAACTTTTGCATGAAAGATCTTCAAACTATGTTCTTGATTTTCTCAAAACATGCAAATGTTGATCAACAAACTCATGAATTCTGAAACCATGGACATGATTAAAGCTCACATGCATGCAAAGACTTTAAAACTCAACTCAAAATGATAAAATCAAAGATGATCTACCAGGAATACACATGAAAGTAATCTACATGTTCAAAGACCCATTTCTTGCACTCTCATGAAAGTAGCTTAAAGCTTGATAAAATCATGATGCATGGAGGAATAGCTACAGAAATTAGACATAGAATCCTTACCCAAGGCTTTAATTTCAGAAATGTGAGATAAATTTCCTAGTTTTCTTCTTTTTCTTCAAACTTGTGAGCTCTCTCTCACTAAAGCCAAACTCTCTCTCTCTTAAGCTTGAACTCACAACTTAATGAAGTATAAAGGGCCAAAGAATGTTGCCTACATTCTCTCATATCTCATCAGAAATTACACAACACACACTCTCACATTTGAATACACAACACGTGCACATACATGCACTACTCCAACATACCCACAAAGATTTATCCTCTACACTCAACACCACCAAATGCCTCAACACATGATGCACTCAAACACATCTTGGATCATTAATAGGATTAGATTAGGTACCAATCATGCATCATTTAAATCAAACACAAGTAACCTTAATTAGTCAAGATTAGCACAAAATTCAATTATTCAAAAATAGTTCCAATTAAGCCTTAATTTAATCACATGCGGTTGTACTAAACTGAATCAGTTTTTAACAAAACTTTTCAGATGGTTCTAAAAATTCTAATTAGTTAACCCATGAACTCAAATTCGGTTTCTAAAAGTATTTAGGCTAACAACTTTAGATTCTAAGTAGAAACTATAACAGATAATTCTATGAATAACAGATAAAAAAGCCAAATCATGAAGAATTACGTAATAAACTCATAATCCATTGTATTTACTTAATTAGCATCCTTAGTTACTGATTAATAGCTAATTACGAGTCGGAGTTATTACAGATATGATGGCTGATGGTGGGGTTAGTTAGAGGTGACTGCCAAAGTTGGTGTATAAACTGTTGTCATAGGTTACAGGTGGTCACTAAAGCCGCCTAAAGACTCGTCAAAAGGTGATTGGAACTTGCCAGAGAGTCACTAACAATTAGTCTACCAACGATTGACTATGACTAGTTTTAATAGGAGATGGTGGAAAAAATGAAAAATATTTTTAAAAATAAGTGTGAAAACTTTTTGTCACTTTCAAATTTCTTAAAAAAAATTATTTTTATTTTTTTAAACAAAAATAATGTACCAAATAAATATTCATTTCGAGCTACCTAAATAAAAATGAAAAGTTGTACCCAAAAAGATAATTACAATTAAGTAAACAAAAATGAAAAATGACAGCAAAAACAGAAATAAAATGAAGGCATTTTGGTTCCGTTTTGAGTCCATTTACGTAGAAACCTCTTAAATGCTTGAAAATATAATCTAGCTTCTTGAATTATAAAATTATACAAATAAATTTCTTAAATTATTACAAAATGGGCCTGGCTTTGGTCCAGTCCACCATCGGACTGGACCGTGCTGTTGGGCCCGTGAGGGCTCACCACGGGTCACGTTTTGAAAATTTGAACCGTTCAATGTGTAGAACTCGTCGAGTACTATATACCCGTGAAAAATCACGTTGATCGGATATCGATAGCTATGTGATCAAAACAGTTTTTTTTATCAACCGTTAATTTATTCACTGTCCATTTTTTTTTATATAAAACTGATTTGATCACATAGCTATTAATATCCGATCAACGTGATTTTTCACAAACATATAATACTCGACGAGTTTTACACATTGAACGGTTCAGATTTTCAAAACGAGACCTGTGATGGACCCCTACCGGCCCAACAGCACGGTCCAGTTCGATGGCGGACTGAACCAAAGCCAGACCCTTACAAAATATCACTTTGCCTCCTAAAATATAAAAGTATACAAATAGTCCCTTATAATTATTGATGTGTTTCACTTTAACCCCTTTCATTAGGGGATATAATTAGTACATTTCTATAATTTAAAAGTTTATTTATATTCTTTTATAGTTTAAGAGTTAAAATGATAATTGTTAATAATTTTGAAAGTCTATTTCTATGCTTTATAATTTAAAGACTCAAAATGAAAACTTCTCAATAGTATAGTCCTTGTTTTTCTCAATCTAGGGCCTTGTTTGGTAGTATCCTAAAAAAACACAAAAAACACAAAAAAATAAAAATAAAAGTTAAAATAAAAATAAAAAAATAAAAAAAAATAAAATAAAAAATAATCTAGACAAGAAGTCCTCCAGCTCCATTGTCACAGCCGATAAAGTTTCCTGCTAATTCTAGGGTTTCTCTACTTCTCATCGCCCTATTCGATGCCCTCTCAATAACTATTTGGATCATCAATTCTCAGGTGAGAACTAAAATTTTTCCTCTCTAACTTTCTTTACATACAAACATATGTATATTTCTGTAGTAATACTAGTAATTGTTCATGAGTTCGCTCAATGGCTGTAAAGCTCTCGTCCTTGACATGTTACAAGAAAATCCCCAAGTGGGTTCGTTTACGAGCCAATGTTTCTTCAATGTCATGTGCAAATAACATCCAAATAATCCCAGAAAATGATCAGAACCCCTCAAATATCTCTGAATTTGAAGCAAATATTCAATTTTTGAAGAATCAGCTTTACCCAGATAGCTTAATTCGGGTTTTGGATTCCACACATGATTTAAATTCTTCACTGAAACTGTTCAAATGGGTTTCCCTCCAAAAACAGTTTCGGCACACTGTGGATACCTATTCCCAAATGATTTTGAAGTTGGGTTTGGCGGGAAATGTTGAGGCAATGGAGGGTTTTTGCAATGAGATGGTGAAGGAGAGGTGTCCGCGTGCGGATGAAGCATTTGTGGCATTGATTGATTTGTTTGTTAAGCACGGTAGGCTCAGCGAAGCTTTACGTGTTCTTGTGACCATGAATTTGGGTGGTTATAAGCCTTCGATTGGTGTATTTAATTTTTTGCTGGGTGCACTAGTTGAGGGGAAGAGAGATTTTCAAGATGTCTTGTGTGTTTACAAGGAAATGGTGAAAGCGGGTATTGTTCCCACCACTGATACGTTGAACTATCTGTTGGATGCTCTGTTTGAGGCTGATCGAGTGGCTACTGCTTTGGATCAGTATAGAAGAATGAACAACAAACGGTGTAGTCCTAATAGCAGGACTTTTGAGATACTCATAAGTAGGCTTGTTGAAAGAAACCGAGTGGATGAATCAATTGTTGTTTTAGATGAGATGTTTGAACTTAAGCTTGAACCAAGTGTGAGTTTTTATAGCAGTGTTGTACCTATATTCTGTAGGTTGAATAAACTAGAGGTGGGAACCAGGCTATTTAAAATGATGAAAGATTCTAAACTTTCCCCAGATTCTCAACTTTATGAGGTTTTGATACGGTGTTTGTGTGAGAACCTTCACTTGTATGATGCAATAAACCTTATTGAAGAGATGATAAATAGTGGTTTAACACCAGCTGATAATATCTTGGTACATATAATTAATGGGTTTTGCAGATCAGGAAAATTTGATGAGGCTACAAAGTTTTTGGAAGATAAACATGTTTTGGGTAGTCATCCTCACAATGCGTTGCTTGGAGGTTATTGTAATGCTGGAAACTTCCTCGAAGCAGAAGTTTTATTTGCTAACATGTTAGAGAGGGAAATAGCTGATACTAATTCTTGGAACATTCTCATCAGATGGCTTTCTGAGAATATGAGGATTAATAAAGCTTTGAAATTTTTATGTAGAATGATTGTTTCTTCATATGTCCCTGACTCTGCCACATATTCGGCCCTTCTTGTTGGTAAATGTAGACTTACCAAATATGAGGATGCACTAGAACTATTTTATGAGGTTCGTGCCAAATCATGGGTTTTGGATTCCACCTCTTATGCTGAGCTAGTTGAATGTCTGTGTCGGAGTGAAATGATTCAAGAGGCTGCTGAAGTGTTTTGCTATATGTCTAGCAACAAATGCACCCTCCACTTGTCCTCATTCATCACGCTGATCAAGGGAATTTGTGTAACGGGAAATGTTGGTAGAGCAGTCAAGCTGTTATCATCAGCTTACGATTCTGGTACTTCTTGTTCCTCTGCAACGTACAATGCTATAATGCTTGGTTTGTCCAAGTCTGGAAAGGCAAATGATATCTTAGTAGTGCTATCAAGAATGCTGGTAGAGGGTTGTACTCTTGATGGGGAAACATATGGTATCCTCATAGAAATCATGATTGCTCTTGGTCGCACCAACGATTGTGTTTTGTTTTTCAATTTAATGGCTAGTGAGGGTTTATATCCTGACTCGGAAACACTAGCTAATATACTATCATGCTTGTCCAAGCGCTCTCAGCTGCATATGATTTTGCTGGCAATAGATAAGCTTGTTCTAAATAATGAAATCCTTAATTCAGAAATATACAACATACTGATTAATGGTCTTTGGAAAGAGGGATACAAAAGCGAGTCTGGTCGATTATTAGATGTGATGTTGGAGAAGGGTTGGGTTCCGGATGCTCCTACTCATGGATTGCTGATGGGGTCTGTTGTTAGAGACGAAGCAGAATGCAAGTTGGGGGCCTATGAAGATATTAACATCCAAGATACGATTAGCAACATACTTGCTGAGGGATTGGGTGAGACTTAACTCACCTGCCTTCATGTAACTGTTAGGATCAACTGATTTTCCAATTCCGATGTTGGATTGACGAGTGTATCACGTCTACAATGACGAAATTCTTATAAAAAAATTCCCAAGACCCGTTAAGGGATTTTCAGATGAAAATTCAGTCCTCCAGGGCAGGGGATTGTTGACATGCCAGGTAAATTCATCTTGCATTGTCATCATACATCTTGTAAAATATGCTTGTATATTTCTAATTTTTTTATTCATCCAAATTATCATACCATGGTGAAATATGATAAAATAATTGAAGAATTTTTTCTCTTGTTCTTGCTAGCTTCTTTTTGTCCTTTAATTTTCAACTTGCAAATTTTGTGGATGGAGAGAATGGATGAATATATTTTAATTTCATTGTTTGGTGCATCTGTCTTCTTTATATATATATATAGGGATAGATAAAGGATGAATATCTTCGAGAGAAATGATTTTCTTTCAAGACAATTATTTGATGCTTGTATTTAACTTACAGACAAGTAGCCTCATGATATTCTTTGCCTTTTTTTTCAACAAGTATTTTGCTCAAATTTAACCACTGACTGAACCAACTGAAGTTTTGGACTACACTCTTTAACAATACAACTTGCCAGGCCACACAAATTAGTGCAGTATCTCTATGTTCCCAAGAAGAAAAATGAGGTCATTGTGTGGGTGAGATCATCTCATCTCTAAAAGGGCGATCAGTTAGACACGACAAGGATTATGGAGCGCAGAAAGAAGTTTAGTTTGTAAAATACTTTCTACTGAATTATTATTCAAATAATCCTATTAGTCATAAATTTAAGAGTAAAGGGGTTGATTCCAGGAGAGAAAAAGGGTCAAGTGTGAGTACTTCTGCTCTTTGTATAGTGGTTGTGTAGATGAATCACAATATGCAATTCCCTCTTTCTTGGCAATCTGTGAAGCAGCATATTAACATAATCCGAGTGAAAAAAATGTTGAAGGTGCTATGATTCTATTCAGCTGATATAGAATGTATAAATTCATACCTTACAAAAAACTTCAATGTTGTTGGATTTCATATAATTTCTGTGAGCTTTTAATTTTAAGTCATGCCTGCTAAACTCTAGTCTCCGAAGTGATCCATTGTCCATCACAGACATTCTGACTGGATTTAACCTCTTTTTTTCTTTTTAATGCATGTGATTTATTAATTTGTGTTGGGGATGATACCATTCTCCTTCATTTCAGGGATGGGAATTAATAATTTCGTAAAGGTCTAGTCTAGTGGAGAGAAGCCAAACCCTTGTTAAAATTATTCACTATCGTGAAAAGAGGATGTGTTGGATGTGATAATGATCACAAATTACTCGGATAGCAAATATGGATTAACTGCACATGCCGTGCTAGCTACAAAAATGATATATGCTTGAATCTTGTGACCTAACCTAATGGTGCTTGCAGTCGATGAAACTCAGGAAACAATGTCAGTAGCAGGGATGAATGATCAAAATCCCAAACCCTAGAGAAAGTAAGTAGCCAAATGTTCATGCTTGAAAGTGTGAAAGTGTACGTCTAAAGTAATTGCTTCAAGTGGACGTTGTAGGCATTCCACATCCAGAAGCCCCATCACTTATTGAAGAGTTTAAGCCCATGTTTGTTTAGGCGTAGTGGATTAGGTTGGATTAGCATTCTCATAACTAATAGTCTTAGCACTATGAATCCTTTTGAATTGTGTATCCTATCCTATGTTTGGATTGGATTAAGATTATAAGGAGGGACTAATAGTCCAGACTTTGGCTTAGTCCTTCAATTTATATTTCACCCTTTATGTGGGATTGAATAGTTTATCATATGTGAGATACCATATCCGGATGGATTGTTAGTCCATACTTCAATTGTTTAACCAAATATCGGATTAATAATTTTATTGGACTATTAGTCCAATCCTAAACTTATATCCATCCAAACAAACATGATCTAGGGTCTGCATTTGGACGAACTTACTTTCTCTAGGGTTTAAGCCCCACATCCAGCAGAACCGTTCAGTTCAAGTAGCATGTACACTTTTCCATGGTTTGAAACACCTTCTAGAGCACCATGCCAAATATCAGTCTATATAGGCCATGTTTGTTTGGGCGAATATGTGCTTGGGATTGAATTAATAGTCCAATAAAATTATTAACCCGATGTTTGGTTAAAAAATTAAAGTACGGACTAACAATTCATTCGGATATGGTATTCCATATATAATGGATTATTCAATCCCACATGGGGAGTGAGATATAAATTGGGAGACTAAGTCAAAGTTTGAACTAACTTATCAAATGACCATAATAGAGGTATTATGGTCAATATATTGGATGTCTCATGTCTTGTTATGTCTTATCCATTCCAATTCCCTTAAACAAACATCGGATTAGATAATATTTTGTTAATCTCTCTTTATAATCCTAACTCAATTCAAACATAGGATATGATACACAATCTAAAGGGATTTATAGTCCTAAGACTATTAGTTATGGGAATGTTAATCCAACTTAATTCGGTCCGCCAAAACAAATATGGTCTAGTGTTATGAAAGGCAGCTATGTTTGTTTGGATAGACTGGATTAGGTTTTCCAATAAGTAATAGCCCTAGGACTATGAATCCTTTTGAATTGTGTATCGTATCCCATGTTTGAATTGAGTTAGGATTATAAGGAGGAATTAACAAAAGAGGGTAAATTACAAACACACTCCCTGAGATTTACTTAAATTACAAATAACCCCTGTGGTTTTAAAAATTACAATATGCCTCTTAAGGTTTCTAATTTTATAACAAATAGATCTTTTTATTAATAAATCATTAAGTTAATTAACAGTTTTTAATAATGTTAAAATTTTATTTCAATTAATAATTGAGATAATTTTATTATTGTATAGGTGAAAAGTTAGAAAATTTACTTTTTTAATTAATTCTGTTAAATAAAAAATTCTGACCGAGGTATTTATAATTTTCTAAACCACAGGAGGCAATTCGTATTTTAAACAAACCTTAGGGGGTGTATTTGTAATTACCCGACAAAATATTATTCAATCTGATGTTTGTTTAAGGAGATTAGAATGGATAGGACATGAAACATCTAATATATTGACCATAATACCCCTATTATAATTATTGTAAAATTTTGGACTAGCTTGTTTTATAATTTTTAAAAAGCAAATTTTCCTATTGTTGCTCCATATCCATTTTGATCCATTTGAACAAAATTTAACCAACTTTTTTTTTAATAGAAAAAATAAAAAAGCATTCAACTATAAAACTTATATATACATAAGCAACCATTAAAAAAAATACACTATTATTTTAATCATCTATCCATTCATTGTCCAAATTCAAAAAAGTATTTATTTGAACAAATTTTACCCTCACTTTTTTTTAATAGAAAAAATCAAAAATCATTAAACTATAAAATTTATATATACACAAGCAATTATTAAAAAATATGCATTGCTATTTTAATCTTTCAATTCATTTGAACAAAATTTAACTCCTTTTTTTTTTTAACAAAAAACATAAAAAATCATTAAACTATAAAATTTATATACACAATCAACCATTAAAAAATATGCACTAATATCCAACCATTGAATGCCCAAATTCAAAAAGACATTCATTAAAACAAAATTTAACTCTTTTTTTTTCGATTAAAAAAATAACAAAAATCATTCAACTATGAAATATAGCTATTTATAAAAATAATGATATTAGAAAATATAAGCAAATATATTTATGGAAGATGCATACAAAATATCAACTGTAGACATATTGAGGGGGTTGACATCTGACGCATACAAATCATACTGCCACCTATGTAGCTCAATTGATCTCACAATTCACCTTAAGCCTATGCTGTGAACACTAGTCTCGATGTGTTTATCGATGAACTCAAACAAACTAAACAACCACATTTTTAAAAAATGTAATCAACCCCAAGCCTTGGCCTTGGTAAAACTTTATGGAAGGAATAGAAAATAAAATATATATGAATTAGAAATTCAAGATTCTTACATATATCATCATAAAAAAATAAAAAAAAGCAATTTCACACTCACACACACTGAGAATGAGCTTGTAACTGGTTATCAGATTATATTCTTGAACATGAAGAATATTAATTCTAAGTGTACTTGCCTAAACAACAGACAGTGAGAACAAAGAGGAGACACAAGAAGAGGTAGTTGGAAGCTCCTTGAGCCATTATAACTAGAAATGTTTGTGGGTATAGGAAGATATATAGACTTGACTAGATTTTGAATGTGAATTATGCAATGAAATCTTTGAAAGACAAATGCATACAGAGTTAGAAAAGGAGTCTGTGTGTGTGTGTGTGTGTGTGTGTGTGTGTGAGAGAGAGAGAGAGAGAGAGAGAGAGAGAGAGAGAGTTGAAGATAAAGGTGAGAGGAGAAGAAAGGGGGGAAAAGCAAAAGGGAAGATGAATATGTTGCAATGATAAAGAAAAGTTGTTACTTCGACATGGAGGTTGGAAAATGATCTGCCTCTCAACAGTGGAAAGAATCATCTATCCTTTCTTTTTTCTTTTTTCCAAATTCCTTTTTCTTTTCAAAAAAATGAAGAAGCTGAAATTTAAAGCAGTACTCTGCAAGTGGCAAATCACATGGATATATATACATGTACAAAACAAAAACACAAAATAGGCTATGCATGGGTATATGGTGATTGGGATTTTTTTTTTTTTTGGTTGCAGTGGAAGATACATTTTATAATTATATTAAAAATATAGGACTAATTATATTTTTTTCAAATCTCAAATGAGGTGAGTGTAATTTATCCTTAAGCTTTTTTAACTGAAAGGCAAACCTTAATTAAATTGTTAAAACTTTTGTTTCTTGAGGTTTTCAGGTCCACAATTTTTGGAACATATCATGCAACCATTCTGGTCCGAGGATAAAAAGTGATCTCAAGCCGATCTGTAAAAAATTTTGGTGTTGTTTGGATGGTTTGCTTTTAGCAATCTTTTCAA